ATGTTAGTATAGTTATAGGATAGTTTTAGTTTGTAAGCAATTAAGCCTTCCCTAACTGCACAAGCCAATCGGCTGCAGTTATTCATAATGTACCCAAAGATAAAATAAATTCCTGCCTCTCCAGGAAACTGGAGGGAAAACTGAAAGAAAAAAAAAAACGCGCGTCAGTCGTCAGTCAGCCACCGACCCGGACACTTCGCCGAGACCTCGCCACTGAAGATGCCCACCGCAGTCGTGGCGCGAAACGTTTGCATCCAGAGCCAATTGGACGCACGCCCATCAGCCCGGAAGACATGAAGAATATTGACTCCGGCCGTGAAAGCCTACAATGCTGTATAAGTGCGTACGATGCTATTTCGTTCGTCGTGTGTGTTCGTGTCGCATTGTAGTGTAAATGCTGTTTCTTACTTAATGTGCATTAAATATATTACTTTGTCTACCTATCAAACGTTAAAGAAAATTCGAAATTGTAATGAGAAAGAAAACGTTTTTATGTGTGTGTGAAAGTACTCGACATGGCGAGCTCATCCAGTTAGATAGATTAGAAAGTTTGCTTAGAGCTAATGCTGGGTAGCACACATGATTACAATTAGAATTAGAACAATTACAAAACTATTACAAACATTTACAATTAGAATTACAATTAAAATTACATTTAGAAATAATGTTAATATCGTAGTTAGAATTAATTTCTAGTTATCTCTAAATTGACTTCTAGTTTATCCAACACTTCACCACACTACACTGGGACGGTCATGGGACATGGTAATGACACTAACACTTACAATGATGATGATGATGATAATGATAATGATGATAATAATAAATTATCTGTATTATTAGTGATGATTTAAATAGAAGTAAGCATATTTTTAATATTGACATTATAAGGAAGAACCTCTAGTGCTTTTGTTTTGCAGGTAGTTTGTTCCATTCCACGATTAACGAAAGAGAACATGCCTAAATCGGTTCTTTGTTTTCTACATCGAATTTACCTCTACTTTTATACACTAGTTTCTGTAATCTTCTACCGATACCTACCCATGCTGTATCCCTTCTGTATGTTTTGTACATTACGCATAAACGCACCCGTTCTCTTCTCTTAGATAAGGACTCCCATTCTTCTCGTCCATCAACAACGCGCCCATAATTTACAAGTTTTCCGGCCCGTTTATGAATTTTATCTAACGCCTCAATTTGCCCTTTTATGTAAGGGACCCAGCATGACGCTCCGTATCCTAAAATAGGACGAACAAATGTAGTATATGTTAGGGATCGGGCATTTGGACTATTTTTTAAAATACGCATTGCAAAGTGCATCGCTGTCCAGAATTTTTTGACCAATAAGATCCGACCATCCGAAGTCGCTTCGCAGGACCAAACCCAAATACTTATAGCTTTTTACATATTTTATAATGTTAATTCCTAACTTATAATGAAGTGTACACTCTAGCTACACTTGGTAAAAGAAATGTATTTACTCCTTTTCCGAATTTAATTCCATCTTATTTCTGCACATACAGTTCCATGAACAGTTTAGATCGTTCTGTAAAATATTTTCATCCGCAGACTAGTCAATGATTCTATATATTACGCAATCTTCTGCGAAAAGTCTAACTTTCTATTTTTTTTCCAATTGCAGTCATTAATGAACGCCAAGAATAGCAATTGCCCTAACACACACCCCTAGGGGACCCCAGAGGTTACATCGGCTTTCGATGAATATTTATCACCTATTCTGTTTGAGTGCGCCCTGTAAGAAATTGTTTTATCCACGAGATTATTCGATGATTAAATCCAGTTTCTGACAATTTGGCAATTAAAAGGCCATGCGGAACAAGATCAAAAGCTTTAAAAGATCTAAAACTACTGCAGTCCCTCAACCCTACTCCCTTCGACTAGTGAGGTTGCTCTGTCCGGACCAAAAGCAATACTTCGACTGTCACACGAATACCCAGGACGAAAATCGTGTTGATTGTGAAAAAGCCAATCAGTTTTACTCCAAACTCGTCTAATATTCTCCGGAATTATGTTCCATCTACTTGCAAACGACTGATGTCAAACTTAAAGGCCTGTAATTGTTAACAATCCTCGTGTCACCTCCCTTGTGAATCAGCAATATTATTATTTATAATAACTTCCATTGAATTGAATTTGCCTTATTTTACGTGGCGAGACTCGGGCCATCAGGCCCGCTCTTCCGTCTGACCACGCAAATTTCGCTACGCTCCTTTCACCAACTAGGAGAGAAAGGAGGTATTTCTTGGGCGAGAAACAGGCGATTTGAATTTAGCTCAGAGGCGTCATTTAGACTTGAGGATCTTTTACATGCAAGTAAATCTACGAACATGGGACAGCCGGCTTTACTCCCCCTCCGAAGAAAGGCGTACGAAGGATTTTCTCGCCGTTAAAAATCCACGGATTCGATCGGGTTTTTAACCCGCCAACTTGGGTACAACAGTCCAGTACGCTAACCGTTACACCATCGCCGCCGCGCAAGGTACGAAATCATGGCTTCCCCTCCCAATTTTAGTATTTCTCCTCGTATTTCATCAGGACCAACATATTTATTTCTCCTAATTTTGGGGATAATTCTAACAATTCCTGCATCGACTCGAAAGGTTTCTAATACACGTGTTGTTTCTCTTACTGGGGCTTGATCCTTCGGCTTAAAAACAGATGTATAATGTCTATTTAAACAAGCGGCCTTTTCACTGCCCTCTGAAATTAACGAACCATTTAGCGCAGATTGCGACAAAGCGTTTTTGTTCCCTCATGTCTCTTATACTTGAAGAAATTTTGTCAAAAGTTCAATCGATCGTTTAGAATTGATTGCAGGGTATTATAATTTCTTGGGTATGTAAATTTAATGCTAGTAGGTCTTTAGATAATTCTAGAAAATTATTTTCCTGTTCCTCATTTATATTGCGTTTACTATTCGCTTTCCTAACTTACCTACTCAGTCGCCTCACTTCTTTGTTGTAGTTCACAGGATCCGAATGGCACCATAGTTTCCTGGTAGACACGAATTTTGCTAAGCATTCTGAAATTATATTCTTAAAATTTGCCCATATCTGTTCTACTGTACATTCGCTAGAAGCTCAAGTTGGAAAATTACTCTTCAAATACAATTGCAGGTTTGTGACGTCTGTTCTATAAAACTGAAATATTTGTCTTTCTTTTACACGATCATTTCGCATATCCTCTCTACGCATTTTTAAAAGGACTCCTTTGCGATCGTTAATTCCAGGAATTACTTCACAGACAAGAGGTATATACACTGGTCTAATAAGGAAAACACTAAGTAAAGCATTATCGCGAGTAGGTTTGGTCGCAACCCGAATTAAAAAAGGTCCTGCACAAATTTGGACAAAACTAGTAGTTTTCGCGTAACTTGAGCTAGAAATTATGCGATTAAAAAAAATCTTTCAAAAAGGCTCTCCGAATATTTTTTCAATATTTTTCCACGGGTAGAAAGAAGGAAAGGTGTTTTAAAAAATGGGCGGGTTTCAGTTTTGTTGAACTCTCTGAATCTTCTTAAATTGCAAATTTAGAAATAATGCGCAGAAGGTGTGCGCAGTTGCCCCAATGAGGGGCGTTTGAGGCATTTGGCGGAGCCTTCAGCGCTCACATACCCCTCCCAGGGAGTGGTAAATTTAAGTCTCCTCCAATAATGACATTTCTTCCACTTTTCCTGATTACGCGTCTTTCCTCTAGAAGTCTTTGCAACTGTTTGTGTCCATCTTGCTGTGATCTGTATGCGCCTATAATTTCCCATTGATTTTTTGAGTTTCTATCTCGAAAGTCTACACCTATGATTTCAAATTTGTCATCCACCCACGCCTGTACTGCTTCAAAGTTGTGTTCACCCCCTCCCAATGCGATCTACTCTGTCACGTTTGAATGTTAACAAATTTTGTCTAAAGATTTCAGCGTTTAAAATATACCCATTGAGCCCTGACTCCGTTCCTATCGCGACATCTACATTATAAGATTCTACCGTGTTCCAGAAATGAAGTCTTATTGTAAATACTCCTGCAATTAACCAGCAAAATAATCAGAGACTCATCTTCTGAGTAATTCCTAATTGTAATGCCGGCGTTCGTCGTCACTCGCCGCCGTCACTGCGTCGTCGACGGATGCCGCCGCGTCACCGCCTCACGCTATACGTCGCCGTTGCATCTCTGTTTCTTGTACTGCCGTCCGTCGCCGACATCCCCGCACAAACCGTCATAAGGGATTCGACATCCCTTGCCGCCACCGCTATGCGGACTCCCGAGCCTGTCGCGGGAAGTTTCCTAAGCCAGAGAAGACTCCACCAGAACATTTGTGGCAGGGAACCGTGAAACGTTTCATTGTACTCTAGACAGGATTCTTCAAATTCCTTTTAGTTCTTTCGGAAGTCCTATTCGGAAAAACTGGAGGACATTGCCAATGGACAACCATTAAATATCATCACAAAACTGAAGAATTGCGTGCGTCATTTTGATGGTAAGATATAAGACAGCGAAAATTGGACTTGAGGATGTGAGAAGAAACACAAAATGTATTGTTGGATGATCGTAGGTCCTCGATTCAAGAGTGATTGCTGTATTTGCCAGAAAACAGCGGTAAATTGTATTGAATTGAATTGATGTCTTATTTTACGCGGTGAGACTCGGGCCAACATGCCCGCTCTTCCGTCTGACCAAGCAAATTTCCCTACGCTCCTTTTCCCAACTAGCAAAAAAAGGAGGTATTTCTTGGGCGACGAAACAGGCGATTTGATTTTTTTCATTATTTTTTTGTGAAGGTCCAATTTTAGCATCCATTTAATAGATTGGTATAGTCATAAATTTATCACATTTAATTAACGTTTCATTTCTGACTATTACCTATGGTTCCATTCATTTCATGGTTCCATTCATTGAATTAAATTTTTCAACTTTGCTGTAGTTATCCATTTCTCCAAGGTATAAAATATTTCATATTTCAAATTCCTTATTCATTAATATGTATAGACGCAACCTCCAGGCGACGAAACGGGGGTCATGGACAAATCAGTGGATGACGACTTGCGTTGCGGTCTGGGAAGCTGGCACCCACCCTGGTTGCAGCGATTGCTCAGCAAGAAGACCTACATGCTGGCTTACGGTGTAACGGGCATGTGTTACTTCACAATCAGCTCATACTTCACTGCAACTGTAAACACAATGGAGAAACAGTTCAAAATATCTAGTCGCACGTCAGGTGAGTGTTAGTTAAAGTGAGTTTCGTTATTACGTTTCGAGTGCGCTTATTTTAACAAAAGATTTTATTCTAGACTTCTGGAAAATAGCTCATTGTTGTACTGTTTTGTGACAAGAAAGTTGTTGATAAAACGATGATTCTGATAAAAGCGTCCTGTAATGAAAATTTCCTAACTCTTCCTTCCTGTCACTAACTTAACATGTAACTGATGCCCTCGAGGAACCTTGCATTATATTATAAATTCGTGGAAGAGTTGGTTCACCTGTTATAGGTCTCGTTTGTCAACGCATACAGCAGCGCCTTTACTTGTAGCATCAGCCTCCCCTACATTCCGGTTCGAACCGCCGAGGCGAGCGCACCGTGCCCGAGGCAGCTCTTATTGCAGTTCACATCGCAGTGGTCTCTTTGCTAGTGCCAAGAGTGGCCCGTGCAGTGAAACATCTAACGAAGAGTCTCTTTTCTTGATAAAGTGTTAAATATAAAAAGTTCAATAAGTGCGATCTGTTCGTGTTTAAAAGTTTATGCTCTGGTCTCGACCGGAGCATTATCAAGTGAACTTCCAGTGATAAACGCGCATTGACTACTGCCCTCCAGTGTTCATGGACCCAAGTACAGACTCAACAGCGGAAGCAATTAAAAATGCCCTAGACGCGTTAAATAATACAAACAGTGGTGTAAATTCCAACATTGAAATGACCGAGTGCAATACAGCCACCCAGCAGCAATTAGATCTTCAAACTCAACAAAACCGCCAACTTCAGGCAGAGCAACAATGGAAATTGATGCAAGACCAACAAAAGCAATTCCTACAATGTCTTCACGGTGTCCCTCAAGGATCATGCCTATCACCTTTACTTTTCAGCATATACTTATCGGATATCCCAAAACCAGCTGACTCAGAAATCGCCCTCTTCGCTGACGATAACGCTTTATTCACAGCCCACGGGGATATACTCTGTGCTTACGACAACCTTCAGAACGAGTTAACAACATATATCATCTTGTCTGAACAGTAGAGAATTAAAATAAACTCGCACAAATCTCAAGCAAAAATCTACACACTTCGAAGACCACCGACTCCTCCCCCCCTTAAAATTCAAAATTCAATAATGAAATGGCTTCCCAAACAAACGGCAGTTGAATATTTAGGACTAATGTTAGATGAAAAATTAACTTGAAAAGATCACATCAAAACATTTGCAACCAAAACGTACGCAAAAATTGCTAAACTCTATCTTCTTCTAAACTCTAAATCAGCTTTAAGCATTGAATGTGGAACTACAATTTATAAATCAATATAATGACCAACAATCTCGTATGCTAGACAAATTTGGTGTAATGTAGCAAAAACACACATCGAAAAACTACAATTCATTCAAAATAAATGTTTAAGAAAAATAACTAAGGCTCCCTGGTTTATTAGTAACAAACAACTTCACAGAGAATTACGAATTGAGTCAATACAAGAACACATCCTAAAATCCTCTCACAAGTTCTTTGACACTCTTTAAGGATCTTCGGCCACGCCCAACTTCAAACTTGGCTCTTCAAACTCGGCAAAAACTACCCAAAACCAAATAGAATATCCTCACGATTTCCCAACGATAAACTCAGACCTTTTGTTGTTAACTCGAGCCAAATCTGAAAAAAGTGGTAAATGTGACGAACGCTAATTAGAAAAAAAGCTTAAATACTAGTTTATATAGCATTTTGTCGACGAAAACGATGATGTAAAGAGAAACAACTAAAAGACCGGATTTGAAAGATTTTGTAGAAATTAATTCAATTATAAAAATATTACGGGGAAAATCCCTACTAACAATAGTAGCAATTGTAGCAAAGATTTCAATATTTTACGCTTCCTGTTAACTCAAGGTACGGAGTTGTGCTTTGTATCAAATGGTCGCATGCTCTCATATTCGAACTTGAATGTTTGTCGTTTAACGGGTTCCGTCGACTCTCCAAAAAATTACGGAGCAGAAAGGTTGGATTAAAAAGTCAGTAACCCCTCATGCAGTTCTCTCGTCGCGGTAACTAAGAAGAATTGAAGCATACGACTGTCTTGATTCTAGGAATTTGAACGCTGTTACATTTTCCCGTTATGAGACACGGCCCACAGTGAATGAATTGGTTGTCGAATTAGGGGGAGCTAAAATATTAAGTGCCCTTTATTTTTCATCAGCGTATTGGCAGTTTGCGGTTGAACCATGCTGTAAGAAATACATCCGCTTTTAGTTATTCATTCGTTAGACTACTTTGGATTTAAAAAAAATCAGGAGCAGCTCCATACATCATACAAGTTGTTCAAGATTTTTAAAACTTATTCTTGGAATTTGAATTACAAAAACGTGTAAATTGTGTCGAATAAGAAAAGAGTTTATGGGCTACGAAATATCGGGCAAAAGCATGAAAATCCAGAAGAGCAAACTTTTTTTTCTCTCTCTTTATTTTTTGTCGCATCACCGACTAAGGTTATTAGCGACAACATATTTAATTACAGGTGTTTACAGACACTTACGACTTCATCTGTCATTACATAAACAAAAGTATCAGAATGTATTGGTCATAACATAATACAGTATCACACCGAAATAACATAACAATGAACTAACACAAGATAAATTGAATCTCCAAGGAAACAGTGTAAGACCTAACCCTGGATACTCAAGCAGATGTCATAAAGATTCGTTACATAGGTAAGACTGCTCAGCAATAGAACCCATATTGCATGCACAAGTCTAGATAATATCCATAAATCATCAATTCGATATTCCTATCAACTACAATCGGACCAGATGACCGTAGACGCGAAAAAGTTATAATTACACGAATCAAAACTGCGTCCATGCTAAAAATTACACACAGTACTCTGTGAGAATACTCACCACCGCTATGTGATATGTGCAAGTAATACTATCAATCGAACATCATATTATGTCCTGTCGTAAATTATGATACATTAGAGACATGTAGTTTTAATTCACAAATGAAATGGAAGAAAATGCCTGTACTTGCTGTCCGCCTTTCAGAACCAGATTTCAAATTTGCAAAAACAAAATGTCATGCCTTGAAATTATAACGTTATGGTAAGCCCTCCCGGTAACTATTGAGTTTTATGTGTTATGATCTACCCCGATGATATTGTATGATTGTGTTACAAGTATGTAAATAACAGTATGTTATAACTTATATGTTTTTAATGTTATACCTATGTTAATTATATGTTGTGTAAAACCCTCGAAGATGTATACCATGCCCTGATTGTTCTGTTGAGATGATGGTATGCTAGAGAATAATA